CAGAACTCTGATTCTCACTTGCAATGACCTTAGGGTTCTTCAACTTTTATCATACTTATTAAAAATAAGTATTATTTTAGCAGATAAAGACGAAGAGGGGGTCTCGAGTCTCGTGACGGGGGACTACCATATAAAATTTGAATATGTTCACATTCATGTTTAATGCCAAGAAAAGTTCTATGCAGCAGATGCAGCAACACAATAAAATGACTAATAGAACTAGCAGAAAAGTTGCCTGCGAATTTGCAGTCAGGCACAGCTCTTAACTCGGCGTGAAATTAAGCCGAAAAGTTTGCGTGTAAATCGAATTATGCAACACACAGAAACAGCAACTGTGCATAATTATAAATTCAGCGAACCACAGAGCCGCAAAATTTTGTAATTCGAAGTGCAGTCCGCACCACATCCGGCCGACGCCACTGCCATTTCACAGTTTGCGCTAATTTTTGATTTTTTGTTGGCATTTCATGGCGAATGGGCTGCATTAAAATATATACAATTGCCGTACTAATTGTGTAAAAATGATAAAATGTTTTACAAATATTTTGTTTGCTAATTATGTGTGGCAATTTAGGCCACAAAATGCAATTAGCCCAGAGCGAAATTGACTGAAATATGAGAGTAGCCAGGCGGGAGCCTCTTAAAGTCAGCTCGGGAACAATTGCTGCACACCAAATGTCGAGCACGTCAAATGCAGACAGCCAAAAAAGTGGCAATTCATAATGTCACGCATACGCCAGGTGAGCCGAGTTTTAAATTGAAAGTCTCGGTGTTTGGACAATGACAGAACGTTACTCAGCCCATCGAAGGCCGTGTTGTCTTTGCCAGCACGCAACGTCAAATTGCTTTGATGAGGGTACAATATTTGCCACGCCCTTAAAAACACACTTGTTGCACATCCACGCAGCCACCAATCACCCTGCCACCCACACCGCCTGCCGCTGTGCGCTATCAAATTATTCAAACAAAATTTGAAACTAGGCTTGCGTAGAAATTAATTGAAGGGACAGAGTCCGGCTCCTAGGCATCGTCGCCTTGCTGTCGTTCGCAAGATTCTTAAGAAAATTGACGCAACTTTTGAAACGTTGTAGGCCAAGCGGAAATGGTTTGACCGACTCAACACCGACATGCGCGTTTGAAAATGTTAACCTGCGAAATAAAAGTAATTTAATTAGTTCACATAGCCGGCGCAAGTAATTTCCCTCTCGGTCCGCAAAGAAAACTTTTATTGTCGCTGTTGGGCAACGGCGCCAGCTGCATGGCTCCGTATTCCTTTGTGCTCCCACTGCTCCGGCGGAATCCTTGCCCTGGCAACAACTGCGCTGACATCTCTCTCTGTGCTCGCTGGCGGCGCTGCTGCCTTTTGTCACCTGTGCGTGTGAATGCCTCGAATACCTGTGCGCGATTTCAATGCAGTTGCGTGAATACGCAAAACTTGAACTACTTATTTGCCGACGCACAACATAAAGCTGTCAATGTAAATGTGCGTGTGTGTGCCCGTGTGCGTGTGCGTGTGTGTGACCTGTTATTTATGTACACAGAGGCAAACGTCTTCTTAGGACAACATTCAGAATAATTGGCCATTCGAAAACTGGGCGGAGGAAATGGAAAAACTTACTCAAAATGAATCGTCCGCATTCACAATTGACAACGTTCCAGGACAAATAGACGCTCAGTCAGCACTCAGTGAGCACTCAACACTCAGCCGTCTTCAGATTTCAGCACATTTAATATGCAACATTTGTGCGCAACTTGGCTGACTTATTTATTCATTATTCATGAGGATGGCCGCTCCACTCGCTCCTTCAATTATGCAATCTGCAAAATACACTGAAAATTCCCACTGCTCAATTTTCACACCGGAAGCTATAGCCCCTTGCTCTCAAGCAGCGGCACTCACACACACTCGCATTTATTCATTATCAATCATTTATTCATTAAGTCACGGACAGCCAGCTGCTCATTGCGAGCGCCAAAGTTTATACGCAATCGGAAAATTTTAATAAAAATTCTTACGTTAAATTACGCTCAACAATCAATGTGTGCCCCGCCCACGCCCAGTCGCCCAGTCGCCCAGCCACCCTCAATCCACTTGTCGCTGTCATCGTCCAACTGTTCGCTTAAGTGGTGTTAAGTATTTGAAAATCTGTGCTCCTCCATACACCCCTGCCCACTGTCCCCTGCCCCTTGCCCCCTGCCAGCGCCACTGCCCGTGGAATGCTGCTCTGCTGTTCTATATTTGTGCTTTGCTCTGCGGCCGCTTTTTGTTTTTTGTTTTATTGTTTTACGACAGTTGGCCAAATACTTTGGCTTGCAAAACTTTTGCGCCTGATGGTCATTCATTTGTCCGTGATTTACGAAAGCCAGCCACCCACTGCCCACTGCCACGGCCCTGCTCATCTGGCCCGCCCATTAGGCAACTCCACTAGCATTTAGTGCTATTAATTTATTGCTCCATTGCCACCTTATATGTGCTCGTAGCTCTCGGCAGCTCTCTCACGCACTCTTCCATGCCTCCTGGGTAGTCACGCCATGCAGAGAGGCTTGCGGCTGCTGTGATAGGCGCTGCTAGTCGTTGCATAGTTTGTCCAGGATTACCTTTGAGCCCGATGCAGCAGCGGCAACAGGCAGAAAGCTCGAGCGATTGTTATTAATTTCCAGGTCATGCAGCTGCTCAAAGTTGCTTAGCAACACCCGCAGCTAGCGCAGTGGAGCTGACATGCACTCAACTTGTTGCGGCTCAATCGTAGCTCCTGCAGAAAGGGCATGGAGCTGACAGACACCGAGTGGAGTTGCTCCATATCATTGCTGCTCATTGATGCCCGTAAGCCTTAGGCTTTCGTTCCAGAGATTGATGCAGTCTTTAAAAACAGTTTCACACATGCTGCCACATGTTGTTTCTTGGCAAATAGGAATTCGATTTGTGCTAAGATTTCGCCTGGCCGACTGCCTGACTCAGTGTCCCAGCAGCAAGCCTCGTAACTTTTCCATTATCCTGGGAAAGGAGCCGTCCGCCCGTCTTCATTTGATTGGGTCAAAGGGTGAGTCTCTCCAGCCTATTGAATACGTAATCCTCCAGAACCCTCACATTATTCGAGCTGTAGTCAAGCAATTTCAGCCAATTAATATTAGTGGCTACGTTGAGCACTCGCAGCGGGTGCAGCGCATAGAAAATACCTCTTTCTATAACATGAAGTCAGTTGAAGTGCAAGCGAAAGTGACACCACGGAAACTACGAAGAAGAGCGGGTCTTGAAAGTGTGTCAGTTTAAAGGCATCTTAGCTTACAGCTCCAGCATTGCTGTTGCTAATGGCAAAGTACCACAGGTTGGCCCTCGAGCCAATTGTAATGTGCTCCTGTTCATTGGTGTGTAGATCCAAGAGTGTGAAGTGCTTGAAATTCTTGAAGGCATCAAACTCTAGTACACGGGCTATTGAATTGCTTGAGAAGTTGGCGTAGACAAGATTGGGCAACCGCCTCATCAGATGGGCAACAGGTCGTTGTGGCTGACATCCAAGCTGACTAGGTCGCGTTGTCAGGCTGACAGTGGGATAAATTAAGTTGGACCCATTCCTAGCCAACGTGAAGCCACCAGACTGTGACAGATACAATTCACGCAGCTTAGCTAGCTCGGGAAGGAGACTTTATCACCTTCAATGCCATTGTGCTCCTTGACAACATTCACGCTTTGCCAATCCTCTTCAACTGCTCAAAGTTTTCAGACATAGTTTTGATGTACAATATATTCGCATTCCTGTACTCCTTTTGCCTGCAGCTCACAGAAAACGAGTAGGACTAAGGCTGGAATCAATGGCGACAACATCTCAACTACAACTACAAAAGTCGCTCTCTAATTAATTTAGAGTTTAGGCGGGACTACTGGAGAGGAATCTTATTGTCAAGTAAATCGATTTTCATTATTGCATTGTTCCCCAAAATTTATTTGTGTAGAACAAGATATAGGAAATATATACATTCTTAAGCTGAAGACCGGAGCCGAAGAATTGCCAGAGCTTGATTCCTCAGTTAGTCTTATTCTTAGTTTAATTTAAATCTTTAATGGATAAATATTTATTCTTCCTCTTGCCCGCTTTGTTTTCAAATGTATTAATTAATCAATATTCCCTTTATTTAAAATATGTAAACTTCGCCTTCAAGTTTCTCTCCTACGGCTTCTGTAATTATATTCAAAATAAATAATATGTATGCCAAATGTTAGGCAAGAGCTGAATGAAGATCACAGAAATCAGTTTATTTTCACTTGGCTAAAATTAAAGAAGCCCCAAACCAGCTAACTGAGTTAGCTCCACCTTCATTTTATTTGGCGTGTTTATAAATAAAATATACGTAAGTTTGTTTATTTAAACAAATCGTACTAGTTGAATCTTTTATTTTAAAGCTGATTTTAAATTCATTTAAATAAATATAAAATGTGCAGGTATCGACTTCGATGTGCACCTAAACACAATATACATATATATATTTGCTAACTTCATATAACAATCATAGATAGGTACTTTATCAGAGCAGATTAATATATTCAATGTGTTCACTTTAAATACTCTGCAATATTGATAAAAATATACATTTTATGCACTTAATATATATAAATATATAGTTTGTATTTATATTAAATATATGAAGACACATAAATAGTTAAAGTACATTTTACACCCTGTCTGGATTTGTATTTGATTTTCTGATTTCCTTTCATATAAATATATTTATTATTTATTATTCATTGTTACACGAATATTAAGACGGCGATTCTTCGTTAAATACACAAAATAAGAATAAGTAAATATTCTCTTCAGCTTTTCCCTGCATATATTTATTCTCTTTTTTCGATTTATTATATACATATACATATATATGTATATTTCCTTTGTTTATATAAAAATAATAATTATTATATATAAATATCATAATACACAACCCAATAACAGTGTGATCTAATAGACAGAACAGAAATAATTACATTCAAAATGTATCCTGAGTATAACGAAAAAATGTAAGAACTTTTAAATCGCTTTTAGCGAAACTTGTTGAAATCAATTCAATATCATTTGGGCGACTGAAAAATGCGTTTGCTTTGGCCATAGCGGACTAGTATGCGATAGTTCACAGGGCTTCGATAGTCAATTTCACACTACATTGGGGTCACGTCTATCGTACAAAAATTTACAAACAGCTAGAACATTCCAGGAGTATCTCCCTCGCGGTTGCCAGACTTCTCAAAGAACATGGCATCCTGAAAGAAGAGAATAAGTGAAGTCAGATATCATTCAATACAAATCAGTAAAAAGAGTAGACTCTGCGTTTGGGCTTTTGCTACCGACAATTCCCGCAATATATCAACTTTTGAATTAAGGCGAAAAGCAATGAGTTCTGGGTGATTTAATATCTGTTTGCGGGATTAAATAACAGAAGCGCTTTCTTACAATGAGGAACGTGGCGCCCAGCAGCACGGCTTTCATGCGTACATCCAAATCCAGTGGGAAAGTGATGCCAAAGAAGTCGGCGTCCGTAAAGACTTCGCGTGCCAGACCTGACCACTGCTTTGATATTTTTCCCACCTTCGCTCCAGTTAGCGAGACAATCTGTATTGAAAATATAATTATTAACAAGTCTCTCAGCTATCAGGTTTCAAGCACTTGCATTGAACTCGACGTCGCCACAGAGCGAGAACGTGCAGAATGGACCCTCAATGCGAAGCACAGTATCGCCAAGGTGATTCAAAATGCGGAACGACGGAGAGCAAATGGACCACTCCTGCTCTATAGATCCAATAACATTGCCAGGCGGTGCGGAGACCTCCATTGTCTGTAGGCAGCAGGGAAAGCAGCAAGCTGAGCAGGCCAATGGCCGATTCAGGTGAATGACCTCTTGCTGGAAATTGTCGAAAATTTTCATATCGAAGGGCCGTGCAGGACCACACATGTTGCGAGTGCAGCAGTCATTGTCCTCCACCGCGTAGTAGACCTTCTGGCCGAGTGCGTTTTTGATTGAGAACTTGTTATTGGTCTCGAAGCCAATGAAAGCCTCAAGCAGCTCCACCTTCTGTTTAACTAAAAGCTGGTCTATACTCGTAAGGTACTCCAATCCGCGCGGACAATTCGGAATGCCTGAGGGTATACTCATCCAGTCGCCTGTTGCGGAATGAAAGAACGTTAAATGAAAAGATGAGAAAAAAAGGCACATTAATCAGCCTAGTCTTCAGTCGAGCGCTCTCTCAAAATCACATCAACATGTGTGGGATGCACGCCCCAGCCCCCGACCGCCCACAAAAGCGTGTCAATTGGTCAATGTCGCTGTCATCGCTTCAATTGCCCAACGTCATCAAGAACAAGCCTAATTGAAGGCATTACAATGGAGAGACCACGACCCTGGGCGGTTTATTGTGCTTTTTATGCCACTACAATGACTTTTTATATCTAATCTCATTGTGGCGTTAGAGGTAATATTTACGCAGATGATATTTCATCACGACGAGTCTATTATAATTCTTCTCTATGGCACAGCTGCCTCGACAGATTTGCAATCTGCGCGATAAGATATATCGCACTGAACTGATTTAGCCTTGACAGGCCTATCACACTTGAAGTAAGAATAAAGGAAAGCTCAAGTTAAACGCTTTGAGTCGGCTCACCTCCTGTCCTCGTCGCTAATATAGAACTCGTAGCCCTTTCGCTTCGCCGACTTGTTCAGCCGCATTGTGTGCCGAAACTTTTTGGGCAAGGGCTTATTGGCCTCACGGCAGACCAGCTGCTTAAGCGTCTTGGACCTTGTGCAGAAGAAGTTGTACTGGCTGTACAGTGAGTGCCAAATGAACCGCAACACTTTCGAGCCACTGCTGGCCCCGCCACTCGGGGCGTCCTTCTGGTCCCCAGACTCGTTTTTAGTCAGATCCAGTGTGGACAGGTAATTGGAGCTGGATGCTGGAACAGTGGCGGCTGCTACGGTATTCGGCACTGACATCGCACTCACTAATCAATATTCAGGCTGCTGCGACTGCTCTCGATGCTGCACCGAGCTGAACTGAACGTCTGCCTGAGAGAGGGCCCCCAAGTTGACAGTTGACGGCCCGTCGGCTTTCAAAATTCATCGTAGTCCACATAGCCGAACGTGTCTTAAATAGCGCATTGTATTATTTTATTGGTTCAATTAAAGCGAACGGCGGACGGCGCTCCGTGATAAGAGCCAGCGGGTTGGCTTTGGGTTGCATATAGCTACGAGGAAGCGCCGGGGTCTTTATCAAGTCGGAGAGTAAGCGCACTTTGTTTGTCAACAACAAAATCTTTGAGCTGACAGAAACGGTTCTGCATTATCTTTGCTTATCTGGACAAGAGCTCATCTGGGACAGTTCGAAAAACCAAGCAAGCTGTGAATGTAAATGTTTACCACTCTATTTCGGGTGCTAATAGAACAGAACTTTGTAGTCTGCCGCCACGCTCTCTGTAACCACCTTGAAACCGTGCGATGCGTGGCGACGATCGCTATTATCACATTCAGAGTGCAGCGACCCTAATTCGAATGTAAAACTGGGCTATGTCTGAATGCGTTCCCTTGTCTTAATTGACTTCAGTCCATTCCTATTGTGCTATCGCACTCGTTCAGAGCTGCTTGAGCTGTGCCCCACACCTACAAATACACCACATGTACATGCGTCTGTAGATTGAAGTAAAGTGCGATCCGTTATGTTTACTAGCAACTGATGCAACTTACCTGCTGGTCCTCCTGGTCCCATGCCTGGATGGGGCTGAGCTGGTGGCATGCCTGGCTGGCTTATGATTGGCTGCTGCGGACCTGCTGGCCCTGGTGGATACCCAAATGGCTGCGGTGGACCAGCGGGGCCAGGCGGATAGCCGTAAGGTGGAGCCCCGCCTCCAGCTCCAAAGGGAGCTGGACCTCCATAATTGGGCTCGCCGGCAGGCATTTGAGGAACTGGAGCATAACCTCCTTGAGGTAGACCCGGCGAGAATCCCTGTAATTGAATGAATGTTTACAAAATACAGAATATATGGTCAGCGAAAAATAAAATCTTTTATATAAACCTGTAGTATTGCTTACATGGCATAAAACTCTTAATAGATATATTAGATAATCGACCGAGTCGAATCGACGGTTATCGAATTTACAATACATTTATTATTTATGCAAAGCAAAGCCTTGTATCGATTTTTCAACATATATATTGAAAGCTACACTTATGTACCTAGCTTATCTCTGCTTATATTCTGGAGCCTTCTGATAAAGTATTTTATATTGTTAAAGAGCTATCTGATATGGTATGTCAATGTTCATAAGAATTTCTTTATACTGCATGGCGCTTGTTATACCAATATTTACTATCCCGAAGATTATACTGTATGATATGTGGCAAGTGTCATGAATGATGTAATGCGAGCTGCACGATATCGTATTTCGAGTCGCTGAGCTCCCAATCGGGCTGATGAAGTTAGAAAACAGAGATTAATTGGATAAATAAACTGTTCTGTTGTTGCTAACGATACATATGATGGATCGATTTGCATACCTGTGATGAGGATAATATCTTATCGGCTTAGCAAGGGGAGTATAGCGAAGGCGGATCACAAGGAAAGAGCGAGCCCTGAATATGATGGACTTGGACTTGACTTGGTACTTGCAAAATTTAATGGAGTTAAAATAGAGAAATGTCACTAAAAGACAAATAATTTTTACAACAATAGTATTCACATAATAAAAGCGCCTAATAGAAGCGAAAGCCCGAGCTTGATTCAAATGCAATCGCACTTAAATTTATATCATGACTAACTAATTAGTGGAACAACTAAAAACTTGCTAAGCTTTGCGATTCCAGTAAAATATGAAATATTCCATTTCGTTTTCATGATTATCTCTGATTATTTACACAGTGAAACTCGCCTATAGTGCACTGGAGACATTATTGCATTGCAATGCAAGTCACCTGCCGTATCGCTTATGAATCAGAACAAAAATAGACACGCAAACTTAAAACTGACGTCATTGAATGGATATGTGTCTGTGCGTTCATACGTGCATATATAGTATAACTCAATTATGTATACCAAAGTTGACAACGCCCCCAAAAACTCACATAGTTAACGGGCTGTGGCTGTGGCTGGGGATGTAGTGGGCCGGGGGGGTAGGGTGCATTCGGCGGGGCGTATGGTGCACTGGCGGGCGGCGCATACGGAGCTCCCTCGGCGGGCGGAGCGTTTGGTGGATAGTAGCCTGGTGGCACGTATCCCCCTTTGTTGATGTTGTTCATGTTCATGCTGCCTTGCGTTGTTGTTGCAGGTGGTTGGAAGCTGTGTTTCCACGCAGAGCGCCTCAATTCGCTGCTGTTATCTTTGTTTATGATCAATTAATCTGCGCTGTTTATGTGGATACTTACAATTTGCCTCTTGAATGTGACTCTAAACTAAATTCAACACTTGTTATTTTGTTACCAGAATAGCAAAGAGCGATGAGGCAGTGTGCCCCGTTGAGATTTCTAGCAAAATGCTACGCAATTGAAGTTTCTATCGGTGCAGGTATCGATATGTGTTTAGAGCGTTTTGAACTGCTTGCCGTTCTCATTCACTGACTCATAGGTGGCGCTAAGGCATTTGCAGCATCCTCATGTCTTAAGCACCAGGTGGCACTTTACTGCGCAAGCTCCACAGTTGCACTGTAGATGGCGCTTTGGGTACACACAAATATTTAAGTACAGAGATTAAATAGAAGACGAGTTTTACGAATTGTTTTGAATGAATAAATGGATTGACGGATAATAGATTTCAAAATTATACTTTCACAATTTTTGCCTCGATATTATCTTTGACCCGTACAAATCTGTTGTGGACCAAAAAAATGTATTTAGTGTTTGCTCTTCTTTTGCCGAAGTTTATAGTTTTCAGGCGAATAAATGTACAAAATAGCGTTATCTACTTTTTGTATCAACAGAAACCGCCATTTTTTATTTATCTGCTGTTACTTCTCTTTCGTTTTTTTTTTCTCTCCCATTTTTTTTTTTTTTTTTTTTACAGACGGCAAAAACACAGCCCACATTTTTTCTAATGCGCAAATTCTGTGCAAGGGTGCGAGTGCGTCAGAGTGCGGGCTGGTCGCTGCGAAGGTATGAGAGGGACGGAGAGCGAGGGAGAGAGAGAGTGAGAGAGAGGCGGGTAGCGATGCAAGAGGGCTGCCAGAGAGGTTGGCGTAGTTAGCGCGCATAAAAAATGGCGGTTTCCGAGGCAGGCAAACAGAGAAAAAACCGTTGGACGAGGAGGAGTCGCCCTGCTGCTGTTGCTGCCCCCGCTCTGCCGGCGTGAGTGCGAGCGAGAGAGAGAGAGTTACAGTCAAACAGAAAAAAATGCTAAAAAAAAATGTAGAAAAAATGCGAGCGAAATCCACCCCATGGCAAAGGCAAAGGGACAGCAAACAGACGTCACTCACTCACACACACACACACATACACAGTGGAACATTGTAATTACCAATACAAATGCAGAGCGCTACGGAGCAATCATGAGCATGAGTGCCACACCCACTGCCACCCACTCGTGGTCTTTGCTTTAGATTTCCGACTCTGGGGGCGAGAGCTAAGCGAGAGGCAAAAAAAAAAAAAAACACAAACTAAAAACACGTTGAAATGAGCGCCTTAATGCGCCATATAACGCGATATTAATGCTGTTGCATTTGTGACAGTGTGTGTGTGTGTGTGAGTTTTGCACATTCAATTAGTTGGCATTGCTTTTCGCATGGCAACAGCAACAACAACTACAACAAACAGCCGACTCAGAGTGCATTTCTGCGGTTGGCAACCGACACAACTGAAGCGGCTCCTGCCACTCGCCACCCACCAGCACCCACACAGCACTGCACTCCACCCACACATGACCTCGACCTCAACTCTTTGGCATGCGCTGCGCCTGCCTGTGGCGCCCGCACCGCCGCCGCAGCTGCAGTGCTTAAAAATCTTGAAAAATCAGGCAGCCGGCAAACGTATTGCAGCTCCAGCCGAGGCACGCTCAATGCGGGCATCGTCCTCCGCCCCAGCTCCAGCTCCAGCTCCAGCTCCCGCCCCAGCTCTGCCGAGGCTATTGTGTAACCAACTGCAGACATGAGTAGAAACAGAAGCAGTTGCAGCAGCGCAGCCAAGGGTGGGCGCAGGTGCCCAGCCAGTCAGCCAGGCAGCCCGTCAGCCCGCCGGCCAGGGGCAACCGAGATGGGTCTCATCTCTGGGCGATGCTCATTAGCCGCTGTTTTTCGCCTTCGAGCATTGAAAACTACAAATTGAGCTGAGGCAGCTTTTTGTATTATTTTGTTATTTATAGTCGGCTCGATCAAATATCTCTCTCTGTGTGCGTGTGTTCGTGTGTGTGAGTGGGATCTCTGTTATCGAAAGCTGAGCCAACTTTCAATGGAACTGCAGAGCCATAAATCAAGTGGCGAGGATCCGCGCTGTCCCTTCGCCAGCCAGAAGCTAACGTCTAATGTCCATGTTGGCAATTGATCGATGGCTCTCGAGCTGGCCTTTTGCATTTTTATTGTGTGGCCAGCAACTCGAAGGGACCTCAGACTCAGGCCCAGACTCGAGCTCGCCTGCAGACAGAGGCAGCCAGAACCAGAGAAACATCTGCTAGTCGAGTGATGCTTCGGGTCTGATATGATTCGGGTGCAAAAAGATATTTTGGCGCGTGTTCTAAGGAATTCGCACAAGGCAGTGAAATAATTTACATTTAAATGCGAGTAGTTGGGGCGCAGAGGAGCTGGAAGCGACGTCAGACATCATCATATTAAATAAATTAAGAGGAATGTAATTTGAAACTGTTTCATTCGAGTATCTGAAATCTTATAATGTCTGAGCAAATTATCTAAAATAAATAAATGAATCATTAATGATCTTATTTGAATTTGATCAGGAATAGTAGTCTAAGTTGATATAACAGACAATAATCGATTGTTTTCCTTCCAATGGCGATTTACTTATATTGCGAAATCAGGCTGGGAATAATTGAAACCATAATCGATCCTTTCAAACAACATCTTTCGAAGCTATTGTTTGTGAATTCTAGACTTTGACTTAATAATTAAATAATTACACAATTATACTTTTTGCAGTCTTAAAAAATATTTTAAAAATTATTTAACGATTATTTTGCATCGATTGATTGATATTAATAATCGTTTAGCTTACATTAATCAGTTGATTTAATAATCGATTAATACATCTTGCTTGCCATCACTAAAAATCAATAAGTATGAACTGAATGATTCTGGATGGAGTCTAGTCTAAATCTAGGAATAAAGAATTTTATTTTTTTATTTAAATTGAAATAAAACAAAGCAGTAAACAGAATGATTTAAATCCTGAAATCTCGAAAGATCCATTGAGCCTCGCTCTTAATMCAGTYCAACTGCAAATAACGGCTCTTTGAATTTACACTTCGTCAAGTTTAAATGAGAATTAAATTAACATATTTTAGAAGCGAATGAAACAGGCTTTAATTGAGTAAAAACTTAATGATTAACTCAAAGCTGTGAAATGATGTGG